GAAACCAATAAAGCTTAGAGCAATAGCACCTGCAAATTTCTGCAATAGCTATATGAGATCTGTTGGGGTTACGCGAAAACAGCATTTGGAGATGCATGCAAGTCTGAACTCCTAGCCTACAGAAATTTACTGAATTTTGATAGGAATAGGCTAGTTGTCTTCATACAATGAATTCTGTTTCTGGGCACTGCATGCGTTGGAAATGTCTATTCCCTCACATCATCTTTTTGAGCATTTCATTTGCATTGAGACAGAGAGGGAGAGTAACAACTACGCTTCTCTATAATCAATGTTCCAGTTACAGCGAGTTCTCGAATCCTTGTCTAATAATTCATTAGTCTACGACTTCACTATAACGTTGGCGACATTCGTCTAGGACTTATCGTTATTGCATCGTGAAAGTCTTGAATAATCATTCCATAACTTCGTAATGAACCGATTTACAGCAGTACTACTAGCTAAACTTCGAATACAAGCAGCGAATACAGATGCTCCTCGCTTTATGACCGTTTGACATTCCATATTTGGACTTTACCATGGCGCGACAGCAATGCGCCCTCAATCTCTGCGACGATTGCGACCGTCAGCATATGTGCTTAGGAACGTACCATACAGTCACGATATGAACATAACTATGATAGATTTTCAAAACTATAAAGACAGATACACACTTGTTAAAAAAATTTATAATAAAAAGAAGTAACTGACTAGTCATAACTCGATATCTTCCTAAAGAAGCAAGCGCGTGAAACTAGAAAGAAATGAGCTATGCTATGAACATAAATCATCAGACGAAAAAAATTTATGACCCTATCTCTATAGTCTCCTCCCCAGCATCACCTTCCAGCAATTAATGTTAACTTCAACTACTGGTATTTAGTTAATTACTGTAATTATCCTTTCATTAACTTATTAAATGGAGGAGTCATTTATTTACTCACCTTATTATCATATCATTCTCATATTCGACTTACGATATGCATCCTATCATGTCTCATATGTATCCGTAATCACTTTCGTTCCTATATAATTTCGCCCACTGGCTTAGGAAAAGATTTTCGGCAAAGCGATTCATGAAGGTCTAATCACAAAGACTAAATTTTCGGTCCCCTGTTTTGTGGGAATGTAAATACGCATTATCTGTAGCAAAGGCCACATCTGTTATGCACAATATGACAGAACAGACCAGATAATATCATGATTAAATCACGGTGTCGTTTTTACGTTCATCCCAAATATGTTCTACTTTCAGCGTATGCTCCACAACGTTATCTTCAAAAAATGTCACCTTTTCTCCAGTTGCTTAAACTTGTTTTCTAAAAATGTTCAATAGAAATAATACTGAAAAAAAAACCTACCTAGAGAAGTAACATAGTTGTCAATAAAATACGCTGATTCTTCAAGACGACATGCGCTGGCATATATTTCATCAATTTTACTCAAATATGGTCGAAAGTACGCAACTAAAAAAATTAGAAACACTAGTTATACTAAAAAAAGTGGAAGTGTCGAAAAGCTGCAAATGTATTGCACAGTTTTATAAAAGTTTTAAGGATTATGAAGAGGCTTAAAATTCTTCATGGTGGATCTTTCTAAGTCAATAGATAGCTCAAATATACATTCCGCCGGATTTAGATTCAAAAGCAGCATATAATTTGGCATATTCTGAAAATACCAGTGACGCTCTCCCTTCGAATATTTTCGTATTCCTCAGCCAATTTGGAAACTTCGTTTACTTTCCTCAAAATTTGCATTAAACTTATTTTAGAACTTTCATAACGATTTCTAAATTAGGACAGTTATTTAAAATGGCGCCAATTATCATCTATTCGGACAAAATGGCAGTGATGTTAGTGACTGAGAGATCACCATGAATGAGGATAAGATGAACATATACTTCTTTTCCGGCTGACTCAAAACTTCACAATTTCTGTACTATTTCAAGCTGATGAGTCGATCCTTTCTTCTGCATTACCACTGTTTTGTTTTTGGCTGCTTGCCTTGTTTGCTGCTGCTTCGGCAGATTGATCAGTCATAGCTACGTTGCTCTGAGCATGTGCTACGAATGCCTTCAGAAAGGAAAGCGAACTACTTGCCCAGCAAACCGGCAGAAAACTCCGGGAATGGCCAAGGCCTCGGCAGGGTGTATCGAAGGATTCTGCTCGAGATCGCGGTTGACATCTGCTGAAGCTGAAAAGCTGATAAGGATCGTGTATTCTGGAAGCAGTGACTCACGCATCTGCGTACGCGACCCGAAAGAACAAAACGGTCATCGAAATTGATTGATTTCTGGCTGTACTGCAAAACTGCAGGAAGCTTATGACTCGTAATGTCCGCAAATCTCGGGATTTTAGATGTTAACATTAGGAGCTGCTTACTGTATCGATTCAACCGATGATTTCTCGTCTAAAATATTTCTACTTTGAGAAAGGGCCTTAATTTGCCTCAACATATTAAATTGCATTTTGGTTTATTTTTCTAAAGGAACATGGTACCTTCGTCGGAAGATCTTAGATTCACAATCGCAAGATCATGAACTCAGACCTCGGTTCAGCCACTTTTCATCATTCTGAAGTGTGCCAGAGTTAGCGCTCAGTCAGTAAGGTGTATGAGAAATTAACATCTAAGTGCGAAAACTTTCTTTTGACTGTTTTTTCTTCTTCTGTTTTTTGGGTAATGATGATTGACGGTTTCTGTTGAAACTCAAAAAAATTGCCATTAACGTGTTAATTTATCTTTATTAAAATTAATCATCACTAACAATCACATAAAGTGCGCTGTGGCTCATTTAATACACATACAGAGCTGGTTCAGTTATTGATAGGAGGCAGTGTTTTCCAAACAAAGACC